CAATTTTCTAGGTCTTTTAGATTTTTGCCTATAATTTGAAAACCCTGTACATAATCGAAAAAATGCCCAAAATAAATGTTATTGCACTGAATCTTCTGTGTCTGCCGGTTAAAGAATTTTGCCGACAAAATTACCAAAAAAAAAAAATTCAAACATTTTTAAAAAATACTTGGTAAAATTTCATTACGCCCAATTTCTACCGTTTAAATGTGGACACGGACTTTTACTTCTCTGCTAAATTTGAAGTTCATATCTGCAAATTTAGAACACTGAACACATTTCTCATTTAGAACGGAATATCGGGAACAGTATGTACAATAGGTGAAAACCATAGATACAAAAGTTTTACTGTCTATGCGGGCTATATCGCAATATAAAAGAAAGTGAGATCTGAATCATAGTCTTTCAGTTAAAACCAATTTTCAATAATAGAGGGACCCAGTTTTCAGTTTTTTTGAATTTGCGGCGCATGCTGTATATTTTTGAAAAATTGTCAAGAATAAAAGTTTATGGAGCCGTATCTTCTGCTTCTTTTGGTTCAAGAATTTTTTTGGTCTCGTAAATAGTTTTTGAAAAATGATGTTTTTTGTAGACCCTTGCACAAGCGATTTTTTATTTTTTTAGAATACTTCCCGACCCGCCAGTCCTCCCATTTTCAATAGGTTCCATCACGGGGCAAAGCTGCATATATGTGCCAAATATGAAGTCGATTGCTTCAAATTTCGGACACTTATCGTGTTTCAAAGCAAGGTCCAAAAAACAGTCGAAAATCGCGAAAAAAAGATGGATACCGGCGTCGTATCAGGGCCATTTTTTATATGCCTTGTGGAGGGTTAAAAAGGAGGCAAATTTTAATTTTGTAGCTCCAACGGTTCGGAAGTTATTCAGGAAAACCAAAGGACGAGAACGGAGAACGGAGAGACAAAAAAAAATTTTTTTTTCGACGGTGATCGAAGATACTTTCGAAAAATTCGATGTCATCGATTTTCGAAAGTAACGAGATTGCTTTCGAAAAATCGTCAGTGTGCGGCGCAAATTCGGATAGTGTAGGGCGGACCAGATTTTAATTTCAAAAAGAAGCCAATTTGGGTATTTTGTCCTTGAGGGACGCATTGCTTTTCTATCGTGCTCCTGTGGACCACTATGGAACTTTCGCAAAATCGATGTAATTTAATTGTGCATGCACCCTGTATAAAGTAAAGTATATATCATCCCGCCGAACTTGAAAATTACATTTACATTTAAAATGTTTAAAAAATACTTCTCGACCTGACGAATGGGATTAAAGCTTCATCATCAAAATAAAGCATACAAATAAATACCACATCCTACTCATGAATTTAAAACATTGAACCCAAAATATTTGCGTTTCTAGTTTTTTAAAATACTTAGGTTTCTCCGAGAAAGTTAAATTTTTTAATAAAGATGGAGGTTCGTAGATACTATAAAATCCCAGCCCCTCATTTTTAGTTAATATTTTCGATTATTATTTTCATGTTTGTCATGATTTTCCCCCAAAAATTTAGATTTTATATTTTTTAAAATACTTACGTTGCTCCAAGAAGGTTGAAATTTTTATCGAAGATAGTGGTCAATGAAGTCTATCCACAGATACGATATAACTTATGTGAATGTTTTTGGTGTCGATGGATAGATGGACGAGAAAGTTCTAATTTGTAATTATTTTTTGAAAATATCGATAAATTATCGACATTTTTTCAAAAAAAAAACGTTTTTTACCAACATTTGCGCCCCCAGCGGGACTAAAGAATGTATAATTAAACAACCGATTATTTTTTTTAATACCCCCCGACCTCTTGTCTTTCTGCCAGATTTCAGCCGGATCGGTTAATATCGACCTCCATCCAAAATTTCATGAGTGGTGATTTTTCCCAAAAATTTAGGTTTTTAATTTTTTAAAATGCCTACGTTGCTTCGAGAAGATTGAAATGTTTATTGAAGATGGAGGTCGATGAGTTGTATCCGCAGATACCATAAAGTCCCCCCCAAACCCTCTCCATTTACTTGTAATTAATTATTTTATAAAAATGTCCAGCCTCCCAGATAAAACGTTCCCGACGGCAAACCGTACAACTTGTGTGAGACTTTTTGGTGTTATTGGTCAGAGGAAGGACGTAGGTATATAATATGTAGATTTCAATTTCTCACAGTTTAAAATATATAAGTATATATATAAGTCATAAATTGCGGACCATCGATTTTTGAGCTGATATTTCGGCCCTAAATGTGATTTCGAGGTAATATCCCAAAAGCTTGCAAAATTTTGACTAAAGGGGTTTCTGAGGATGAGAAATCCGAATCAGAAACTACTTTTTGAAAATGTTGACATTTCATGATGATTTATGATTTTATTGATTATGTCTTTTCAAATATCTCTTGCACCCTGTATAGTAGACGAAAGCTCTAAATCCTAAAATTGTAGCTCTCGATACAGTTCGTAATACGTTACAAAACCAAATTTTCGTATATTTTACAGCTTTTCATTTACAGCTAATATTTCACCCATAAAAACGGAAATTTTCACGGTACTTTAGATATTTTGCCCATAACCGATACACCCTATAGATATTCGGAAAAATTACGGAAATAGAGATTAAAATCCTGAATCTCCAAAGTTCCGTGGTTGACGAAGTTTGCCAATAGAGCAAATTGTTTTTCTAGAAAATAATATTTATCTGAAACAATGCAGCGCACTGTACGTGGTAATAATAAGTGACGTCATCGCGTCTAAATTGAGCACGATTTTCACATGGATTTTTTCAAATATCTCGAGCAGCGTGTGTGTTAAAAGAAAACGGTAAATATAAAAATTGTAGCTCTCGGTGCGGCCTATAATACCTATAATATACCTATAATATAATGACTTGGACTGATGTCGTGTATTTTCATCGGTTTTCAGAAATGAACGGTGGGCATTTTGAAAATGATTGTAATTAGCGTTGTATACTGCTGAATTCCCGATTATTATTATTAAATTTTTATTTTCAAAAAAATTAAATGTATTTATGTTACTGAAACTAAACATGTTATTGTATTAACTTATGCCATTTTTTCACATTTTTAATTTGTAGCATGTTGTTTTTAAAAACTTAGTGCACGTCGCCTACTGGTTAATAATGCTGGCCTGCATTTCCACTTGCTTTTCCGTAACAGAAATGCATTTTGCGATATCCAGTATCACCTTTCTGTAAATTAGATTTGTGGCTAAACGATAACACTTATCTACTTAAAATGAGAGTAACAATTTTTGAGGATTTGTGATTCTGCTTAAGGCAATTTGTTCTATTTTGCAGGATCAGTGTAAATAAATAAAATGCTGGGAAAATACAAAAAAAAGTTATAGGTAAAGTGCCCTCTACTGACAGATTTCTGAAAAACTTTTATTTTGTCACGATTTCTTTTACTAATTCAGGGCAGTATGTAAAATACCAGCTTGTTGCGTTGAGAATTACTGCTTTAAAAATAAAATTTTAAAAAACAAATTTTGACAAGCTATAACTCGGAAAATATTACGATTTCGAATTTTTGTTACATGACTTACTACTACTATTTTACCACGTTGAATTTTCCTCCAAATTTCCGAACTCAATTTCCGAACACCCTCTATAGTATAATGAAGAGTATATGTTAAAAGCATTTTCAATTTGAGGATATCAAACTTATTACATCAAGGATATCATAATTTTGAGACAATTATTTAATATTTTCTAACATTGAGAATACGGCACAACCATATTGAAAGTGTGTTACTACAAAAAATAATACGTTTTGAAAATGAGTATATTGTTTCTCCTTCTAAAATTATATATCATCATTTTAAGGAGGCAGCACTTTCCAAATCAAGAGACGATTCAATCTCAGAAATAATATTTGTAATTTAGGAATAATAATTTGAAACATTTTAAATTACTACAATTAAAAAATATATCTTGTAAATATCATATTTTCTTTTTCAAGCATATTGAAATTCTTAATTTAAACTTGTTCCTCTAATTTAAAAACACTTAAGTTTAAATCCAGTATAAAATATTGAAGATATACGTAACTCTACAATTAAGAATTTTTTCTGTGTACTTATATTTTTCACTGTGCTCCAGCGATCTCCGCCCCTCTCACAACCGATTTTATCAGCTGCACTTATCCAGACCGAGGTTCATTTGGATGTCGCTGCTGGATTTACCAACACAGACAATAAGTCGCGTAACCGTGACTTTTATTTTGGAAAATATCTTTATGCCATAGATGCGTAATTTGTTGGTTGGACCGTGGTAAAATCTATCCCTTTCCCTGAGGTTTAAGAAATGAAGAGAGTGAGCGCTAGACTAGATAAAATCACAGTGGCCTAGTTCATCTCTCTGAAAGATACCCCGTCCAATTTTTTTTCCCGCTTCTTGCACCTTCGTAGCAGAAGGTTCGTCATCCGCCGCTTCATCGCATGTTTTGGTTAGTTTATTATTATTGTTATTAACATTATTATTGTTATTATCATTATTAATATAATAGAAAATTTTTGCACATAACCTAAAAATTTTTTTTCGAAGTGAAATCCATAAATTTTTTGGAAAATCCATGAAATCTCTGTGGAATCTGAAACCATATGGTTGGGTGAATTCTGGAGTAGCAATTTTGAATGTTGATTTGGATATTTCCTTGAGGTGGGACCACTTACCTTAAATAACAATAAAGTGACGCTTGGTGATATGCATAAAGTTAAGTGGCTACTTTTTGCCCACTTCATTTGTTTTGCATAAAAACAACATAAAACTTGTGAGTGTGCTGTTTCCATGTGGATGTACTTGCTATGTTTATGTTTATATCTCCGAATTTATGCCTATTTATCAGCGTGTTTAAGGTAAGGTTAAGGTTAATATTGGATCAAATTTCCATCCTTAGATGAAGATCTTCAGAATGCGAAAAATAAATAGCAAGAAAAATTTAATTTTCACTCTATGGACTGTACTCATATTCCTATACTGAAATCCTCTATTCGCGGAGACGAATATATTAACAGAAAAATGAGGAGCTCACAAGTGTGAATGTCTGTTGTTCAGGATCTGTACACGACCCTAGGATATGCAATGGAACAGGGCTGTGGTTCTATTGCTGGGAGACTCTGAGTATGGTATTGCTCTGTGATTCATGATTCTTTGTAGGTTGCAGATACCCTAGAACAACCGTCATACAATACGCTGTTAACAAGAGATCCACGTAAATATCGTATAAGAACCTAAATTAAATTACTTTATCGATATAAGTTGAAGAACGATCTGTATTACCTAATAACAATTTCACAATGGAAGCTTAACTGCAGAGCAGTAACTTGAAAGTAAAATTGTTAAAATAACATTTATGAATTTCTTTAACCGTTTCAAATGTAGGAGCTTGCAGTACTGGTCCTAAACTTCCAGATACTACTTCGATTAAATCCGTTTTTTCTGCTGCAAAAGAAACAGATGCACGAGTTATAGAAATATCAGCTTTGACGCATTTTATTGGACAACCGTCCGAAACAGCAACTGAAAGTTTAAAATGTGCCATAATATTATTTGTAAAAAGTATTACAGTCGCCTGTGTTTCTTTTTTCTTTCTTTGAAAAAATAATATCTAGGTCATTCGCTTGCTCCCAGAAATCTAGTCAAGTCTTCCAGTTCAGGTATATTCAATTGCATCCACCTCCGCATAGAGGTACATACCGAGTTAAGGAAACTAGTAAGGCACCTTCGGCATTTCTAAAATTACATTAACATAATTGAAATGCATATAGTTTCAGTCGTACCATACATTTCTACAAACATTTTTAATACTAATAATTTCTTTACCTTGTCTCAGGCCTATTGCATATATTCGTTCGGTCTCTTTCTCTTTTAGACATGCTTTCAACTCTTAAAATTCCTGCCTTGTATTTGGTCCTCCAGGTGTTCATGATTGTGTTTTTCCTTCCTTCCATTCTCTTCCTTCTTCTTCCTGATGCTTGATATCTTGTTTCTGTACATCGAAATATCTTTTTGCAATAACTTGAATATACATATATTTATTAAATTCTAAACCTACAAAGCGTTAAATAATGTTATAAAATACGATTTTTTTGCACTAAACTTGCAAAATGTCTTTTTTGTGAGCTACTACAAAATATTAAATCAATTTTACCTCGTTCCGTTACACCTTGTGTATAATACACAATTTCGTCGAGAAAAATTATTTGTTGAGGGGTTCTGTTACTGCTCTGCATGTTAACCTACCTACCCTATGAATTGACTACCTGCAATTAACCTAATTCCTGTTTAATTTTAGTATTAACGATCGTAGAAAATGTATAGTATGGTAAACATTTGGTAAACTTGTTAAATCATTTGTTTATTAAACACTCGCTCCGCTGCGTTCTGCTCGTGCCAAATAAACTCGTGACTCAAATGCCATTTACCACGCTTGTTGCAATTGAGATGTATGCAACTTTGGAGTAGTTTGAAGACAAATCAAAACCCGCAAATCAAAGTGTCGACTTGAGAATTTCATTTTAATCTAATTTCAATTTAATCGTCAAATTAGCGCGCTGAATAAACTGGCAACATGGCTCTGATCCGCAAATCCTGAGCATACAAAAGTTAAATTGAGATTGGTCAAGGTAGCCCGTGCGGCTGCCGTCGGCGGGCTGCCTCGCTCGATATCGTTTATTGTCGGATCCGACTTTCCTTTTCTCCTCTCCGTCCGACGACTGTTTATTTGCTTACGGCGTCTTTTCGTCTATTTTTAACGCTATTAGGAGAAATTGGCGGAAGGAGATGAATTGAGATTTCAGAAATGAAACTCGGGAGTAAAATTGCTTTGAGTAAAACATATTACCAACGAATTATTCTGTGCTGATCCCGGTTACACAATGGATCTATAACAAAGTGCGTTGCGACGTTGCCGTTTCGCAGCCACGTGTGGCGTATAGCATTAATCTCTACAACTCGAACAGTTTTGCGATTGTTTTCCAAAAAGTGAGATGCCACACGTGTGTGATATCAAATTGATAATTATTCTCAGGTTTATTTTTGGTTCTAATCTATGCGAATCGTTTACTTCGTTCAATTTTGACAAATTTAGAATCTTTTCGTTATAAAAGCGATATTGTGTAATAACATCACTTGTTCTATCTTGTCGGCCGCTTAACAAAATTATTTTTGAAGCCTATTATAAATGTGAATCTAATAATGACATTTGAATGACAGACTTAAAACATAATTACGGTGGCGCTTTTAACAGTATATTTATTTGATTTAAGGCATCAGTATTTGTTGTTAAGCCGTAGTGTTCACAGTATTCCAAAATTAGTAATAAAATGGCTGCAAGAAGTTATTAGCTATTATGTATGTACCGGATATTCCATTTTGGGCACTTTTGTGGGGTATCCCGGTTATTTTTTAAGATAGAAAGGTGCGACACTATACTGCTTTTTTGTGAAAATAATGACGTCGTCCACAAAATTATCATGGCCCTCTTGGGTTTTTAGATACAGCGTGAAATGCAAAACTATCGATTTTGGGACCACCCTCGTATCTCCGTTGTTTTATGTGGCTTATAGTGGCTTGGTTTCTTTCTTACTTGTTTTAACCGTTTATTAGTTATGAAGCAAACATATATTTTTTAAGGGGAAGACCTTGTATATTATATTTTACATTGATAGTAATGCCCTTTTCTGGATTTTTCTTTAAAAAAACACACAGTAATTCGATAATTCGCTCTTTACGTTCATGTTCTATTTAAAATTCAATGTATTTATGCGTTTATGTGTTAATTATTAATGTTGACGTTAAATAAAGAAATTAAATTTCTTTAGAAATGATCGGAGGTTGTAAGAATAATTTTTATTATAAGGAACTTCAGTGGCGTACCAACAATGTCTGCCAAAATATAGACGTAAATTCCGTATGCCCGCCACTGGTATATTTAAAAAAAAATATGGTACACTAATAATGCCTCTTGATACATAGTATATGTGTTCAAAATTTCATTAAAATATTTAAACTGGTATTACAGATAGAAAACACCCTGTATATTTTTAATTTAGTTCCCGAACTGTTTTATTTAATTACCTGAATTACCTTAATATATGCTTACTTAAAAAAATATTATTGTTCTTATGTTAAACGGACCAATTTATAAAATAACATATTTACATATTCGTTAAATAGTGTGCACTTAGTCTAATAAATGAGACAAACACTTTTTTAAATGTCCGATAAGTGTTACCGAAACTTGGCTTCAATCGTATTTTATAATTTCTTGAAAAACATTGTTTACCCTTTTTAAGTAAGTTACATAAAGAATAATGGTGAAGACAAATAAGGTTTGAACGGTTTCCTTAGAAGACTTATTTTTCCGATGGGGGGAACATTTGCCGCTTAACGCAGTAACACAAATTTCTAGAAGACATTTGGTCCTATATACGCCAAATTTGTTGCAATAAAATTACTTTCAACTTCTTGTATTACGAAAAAACTACCTCACGTTTATTTAGAAACTATTCACAGAATGCCAATTTATTTAATACCAAGTCGACAGTTTAATAAAATTATGTTGCGATATACCAATTTGTTTTTCCAAAACTAATATCCTCGAATGAAATTGCAACTAGCGCGTTGTATTGTAACATCATTTCATCGCGCACCACAATCGACGACCTACGCAAATAGCTAGTCTGGAAACCCGCCAATAAATTACCAAACACGTTTTGCGCTTTTAAAGAAAATGAGCATAGGCCGAGGTATAAATTTCTTGAAATTTCTTAAATATCGTGCGAACGGGCAATGTTGTCCGCGAGGCTCAATGGAGAAGGGATAGGGGTACCCGCACCTTGGCCTCGACAAGCTCAGCGCGAGGCGGCGAATGACTACGGCGTTTTCGAACTGGCACGTGGAGTACATTAATAGACTATTCCTGCCAATTAGAAAAAATTGACCGAATAAAAAATATCGTCAACAATGAGTTGAAATGTTTGCTGCACCGCGAAAGCCGAAGGTTAACACACGGGTATGTTATTTGTTTTTTTTCCATGATGTGGTCATATAATTTCCACACACAGTTGGCGAATCGAACTGTTTTTGTTATTTTACTTGATACTTGATATTAGATTTTTATGACTTGTACGAATTATATATATATATATATATATATATATATATATATATATATATATATATATATATATATATATATATATATATATATATATATATATATATATATATATATATATATATATATATATATATGTATATATATATGTATATATTCTTGAAGGTCTAAACGCTCTTGAACACTGGAAAAACCATTTTCTCTTTTTAAAAAAATTCGTGACAATTTTATTAGTTCTTTTTTTCTATGGATATCCTATAAAAACAAGACGCTATTGCGGAAATTGAAACCATACTACATGTTTACGGAGGTTAGAAAACGTTTTGTAATTAGTAATAAGTTCCATTTACTTGCATTACTCGTTGATTTTATATTGAATTTTAGTAATTAATGTTTAAAATAAAACCTTAACTAGAATAGGATATTTCGTAGCTTTAGTTGGATTTAAAATAAAATACACGAGTTCTTGCAGAAAATTGGCCATAGCTTCTAAACTACCAATTTTTGTAATAAAAGCTATATACACTTAAAATGATACATAATCAAATCCCAAACCCAATTAAAGTGCTAAATATAGGGTGTTCCATAGGTAGGGCAAAACATTATACATTAGTCACTTCCATGCATCCATAATAGAAATTACAAATTTCTTTTTTCAAGTGTAAAAAAAGCACATTTTTTCAAAGACCTGGTTTTCAGCAAAAAAATGGGAAAATTCATTTTTCTCAAAAACTACTCAAAATTTCGTATGACAAAAATACTCAAAAAGTTGGTTACTGTACTGGCACAACGGACTACCCGTATTCATAAAAGTATTATAAATAAAATATACACAAGGGTTAAGCACGTTTTGTTTTAAACTTTTTCCCTGTGTGTTGTACTTATTGAGATAAGGTATAGGAGATTCTTAATTCTTAGGCTCCACTCCAAAGTGTCCAAATCATCATGTGCTGCTTTTACTACACGTTGTCTCATTTCTTTGTGCATCTTCGCACCGTTATCCGGTATATTCAACGGTCTGGGTGGCAATAATTATTATAGATATGTTTTATGTAATCGGATGTTGGTGGCTTGGATAAAATTTGGTGAATTTTCTTTGGTTTTTCATTTTCTAATTGACCAGTTAACACCCAATCGACTTTCTGGATGCGTTTGCTTTGCTTGATTTTGTGAAGAAATTCGAGTGCTTCTACATGATTCGTCTTATTTCTTAGATGAAACTAGGTTTCCAACGTAAACTCCTGTAGCTCCAACCATCATCGGACGATTCGAAGTATTAGCTGCTTCTTTTTGCTGGTAGCCTTTAATGAGTTGCAACTTGTGACTAAGACAAATTCCCAAAAGCCAGCCAGAGCAATTGTGCAGTCATGTCATAGCATGACATCTTTATCTGGATGTTGTAAATTGACACAGGAATTTTGTTTGTCAGTTTTCAAATATAGCTAAGACATACATCATTTTTGTAACTGCACAACTGCTCCTACTGGAGTTTATTAGTAGGCCGTGCATATAGCTCTCTACGTCAGTGTAACTTTTAGTCTTTATTGAATTTTGTGTTCAGTCACACATAATTTTAGTTGCCAAACATAAACTTTTAGTTCATTTAGAAATTTAAAATGTACCAAAATTATTAAAAGTTGTTAAAATTAATAAAGTGTTACATTTTGTCAAACAAAAACCATGCGAGCGAATATTTAGGACGTTAACCAATAATTTAACCAATTAGAGAAGTTTCAAAAAGCCTACGCAAAATCAAAACCATTTAAAAAAAGAATAGGAAAACCGGGACTTGAATATAATTGAAGAAGTAATAGAAAATTCAAGTACGGGCACTAGCTGACGCAAAAAATACCAGGAAAACTAAAGTTTTGTCTACTTAAAAAAACATAAATTTAGGCCATATGTTTATCGGAAAATGTAATGAGAACATTAATTTTCCATTGTATATTATTTGGAGGGATGAAACGAGAATTGACTGTTCCGGAATATTTAAAATACATAATTTTTAATTTTTCAAAGAAATGTCCACAGGCTATTGTAATACTATTTCAGTTTCAGTTAACCTCTGAAGAAGTCAACAGGATGATTGGCGAAACGTTAGCGAGTTCGACTCAACACTGTGGTGTTTCAAAATGGGCAAGGTCGCTTTGGTTAGTTTTGTATGACTAGAAGTTTTCCGAGGTAGATTTGTGGGACCTTATTTTTTTAGTGAAAATCTGACAGTGGATGGTTAAATAAATATTTTGCGAACATATGTTGTTTCATTTTTAGAATACTTGCCATTAATTCATGAAAGGAGTTGCCCCGATCACAATGCATGGATTGTAAGTGAACTTTTAAATGAAGACTTTGGACAGTGTTGGATTGGAACTAGACTTCCCATTCTGTGACCTGCGAGATCGTGTGATCTAACTCATGTAGATTTTTTTTGGGGGAGATTAAAAGATCTTATATTTAAAGATAGAATTTTAATAGACAAACCAGAGTTAGAGGAAGTCATTTGACAAGCGTTTGTTTCCATCAATCTTATAGAGTTAGAGAATAGTTGCAATTCAGGACAAAGTAGGTGCGTTCAGTTTATTGAACATTTAGGTTAAAATATTTCAATATAATTAAAGTAAAAGGGATAAACTTTAATAGTTTGCATTCTAATATTTCTTGTGTTTTGGTTATTAGGTTAAAATAGCTAATTTTATTTTCTAAATAATAAATGGTTCTTAGGTTTCGTGGTTTTCACTTACGTAAGTTATTTTAAATTGGTCTTAATTTTTTTGAAGTTCCAGTGTTTATTACATTACTTTAATGGTTTCTATGTGGCGTCTTGTTGAACATCTTATGGACGGTCTGCTAATACATAAACAAAAAATGCTCTATATTTCCGCCTTTTTTCATAACTGACATCAACTAATCTATATGGCTGAAAAGGGCACGACACAAGCATTTTTTTTAAGAATATAGTCAACTATGATTGCTATATAAAATAAAAAGTTCTGTTCATTTTTGTGAAAAAGGAAAAAGGATTCGAATACAAAATTTTCAAAAATAAAAAATTTGTGGGCAATTTACAAAAGGGCCAAAAATTGAAAAACGCCTTATATCTCAAAAATCGATCCTTCGACACGTAAATCGATTTTGTTCTATCTAGTTCTGAAATAGGTTTTTTCTGTTAAAACACTTCAATAACTTCATTGTAAAATTTCGATATAAAATTTCAGATTTTCGAGACTAAATACGAATGTTTAAGGTAACATGTTTCGAATTTAAACAGGAAATTTTAAGATCGCGTATTAATTTTTGTGCTGTCTTTTCTAAATTGTTTTGTCCATGACCGAAATAAGTCCTTCCTATCTGTCGTAAAGTATGACACCGCGTTTCATTCAAAAACATCCGCCATACACGACCAATTTATAATTCCGTACAGCGTACGGAATTATAAATCCGTATTATTGTCTAGACAAAAAAGTAGCACAGAATTGTCCGATTCGAAAATCGGTTGAGCCGTCGCTCTGACCAAGACCTGACTCAAGATTGCGTTGTTGCGATCCGCGGAAGATGCTGTTGCTAAATTAACCTGAAAACGTACTTTCCCGACAGCGATTCGAAGAAACGACGAGTCGCGGTAAACAGTTGCGATAAAAATGTTTGAATCGACGCAGCGAAATAACCGAAAAACAACAAATTTGCAATGCGAAACGACGTTCGAAACACAGTCATTCGCCTCCACGTGTCTGCTTACACGAGCTTCCAGACTCGGGACCGACCTTTTGGGCGCGGCGAAGCGGGGCGGCGGGAAAACTTCGCCATCGGCGCAATCTAACGGCGCCGTTGCCGCGTCGCGATCGTTTTCAATTCCGTAACCGCGTTGTTCCCCCGCCGATTCGACGCGTAAATCGGCGTAAATATGACCAGGCGGCAACACCGCTTCAATGGCGTAAGATTACGAACGGGCGGGAGGTATAAACATTTTTAGTCAGATTTTGGATCATTGAATGTGTGGTTGCATTTCGAAATTGTTTGTCCTTTTTGTATCCCGCTCGTTTAGGAGAAAAGTTGGAACAGTAGTGTGTCTACCGACATTTTGAGGATTGGTGGCATGTTTACCCTATTACAACACCATCAAAAACGCTAATACGTAAGTATGTTGTTAAATATGGCCTTTACGTTAACGTTAACATTAACGTTTTTTTATTATTCATTACATTGTGCGTCGGCCAGTTGCGATATATAGATAGATACAACAAAAATATTCGTGCGTGACTAACCTAGCCCAACGCATACGATGTAACAGGACATATTAATGTTCGAGAATTAATATTTTCTAGAGAGACACTAAAATAGCCAGGATTTACTTATCGCTTATTATACTGTGTGTTATGTTAAACAGAAAACGCTTGAAAACCAACAACATAACGCTCAAAGAATTGCATTACGAAATCATTGCAATTCATCAAAACGCCGTTATTTCGCAGTTTACTACTGAATATTTTGCAAATAACCAAACCAATTTTTTTATTAAATATATTTTTTTATTATATATAACTGCTATCGAATCTGAAGCGATTCTGTGGTCACCAAATGGCATCCAACTGCACGGTGTAGCCAACTCGCATTCGATTTAACCAGGGAATTATTCAAAATACAAAATCGTTCATAAAACTCCAACATCTCCGATCAAAAATAAAATCGTAATTCTTTCAAAATATGCTTTAATTAAAGTTTTTCCATTTCACTCTTGAACTTAACGCATAAATCGAACGTAATGGATCAAAACCTAAGCAAAAATTTAATGGATAATAAAAAACGGCGAGTTTTTTAGTGATAGTGTTAGTGTTGGCACTGTAAAATGATCGTGATGACTATTAAACTAGCCAAAAGATACCTTAACTACAGGATTATCCTTACAGTATAGTGTTCTAATTAACGATCGAGTTTTGGTTAATTCTGTTATTCTATACAATATTTTGTAGTAAAGAAGCTATCCTATATAAATGACGTGGCACAGCGTTTATGACTTGGTTAACAGAAAAATAGTTGATGTGTAATTTTAAAAAATACGTTGTTATTTGGGTAAGTCGTACCGTTGAAGTTATAAAGCCGGTATATTCAATAACAGTCACTTATCGTCATCTTTCGACCTAATTTACTTAGCTTAGAAATAATATAGATATTTCCGTTTCGTCATCTTTGCCTGATTTAACAATTTTTGGTCTACGCGGGCAATTTCTTTCCCTTTGTTTTCCACGCAAATTTTACTAATGAACCTAGGTTTTTCCGAAATAGGAGGGTAAGTTTGCTTAGTTTGAGCCGCGACGTCGTTGCCAATTTTCGCGGAGAAAGATAAAATAAGAAGACCGGTTTCTGTTAATTTATTTGTTTTTCGCACAGTGTGGTTTGTAGTAAAACTAAACCGTTTCGATTGAATCGAACTAACATGCTTGGTGGGGAGTGTTCATTCGTTTTTGTATTGAGTTGCGACTTTCGTCAATAAAGTGTCCATCACGTGGGGAGACATTTGCCTTTGCTTGTCTAAATTGGCGTTTTTATAAAAAAATATTAACAAACTTGATGTGTTCCACATTTTTCCAACTTGGACTAGACTTTAAATGTTTTCCGTTTCATTTATAATAAACACTGGATTTCAAAGAACAATTTCAATGCACCTGCAGAAATCGTCATGTTAAGTTTTTTAGAAATCAATTTTCTGCTTAGATTCCATGAAAATAAATTTAAACTTCTTAAACTTCTTAAACTATTGCTTGTTGCGTTGTCTTCGAACATCTGAAAAAAAAAGCGATGAAACCAGTCTTGCAAAACCTTGCTTTCATAATTTCAGAATAAAAAGGAAGTGGTACCATTCCAATATTATTTATATTTTATATATAAGTACAAAACTCCACAATCTAGATAAAAAACAATTAAAATGCAATTTCAACACATTCAACGAACTCTAAGAACACAAATAACCATAGGTAATAGATTTATAGATACATACACATGGAAAGGCCACAAATATATTAATTTATTTGTCTTCTGTCATTTTCAATGAAGCTCGAAATACGCACTTGTCTGACTAAAAATATATTTCCGGTTAGTCAATTCTTCTGATCGCTGGCAATACATCCGAAACTGTTATTTGACGTGTACGAACGATTTCTAAATCACTAATTGTCGAATCGTTTCTCCGAAAGCTTTTATTTAAAGGCCGCTGATCGCTGCCGATAGTTTTTGACTGATCTAAATTTGTATTAATTAAATTTCTTAAAACCGGGCGAAATTTTGATAAGCGGCAACGGTGCGAGGGGGAGTCGGAGTGGACGGGGGCGACGCAACTCACGACCTACGTCTCGCATCGGGTTGTCGAGGTCGGTGTTCGGCATAAAAAAGTAGCGAGCGGGCCCACGTGGAGGCGAGTGACTACGGCGGTTGACGCGTGGCACTTTGTGTTGTTGTCGCTATATTCTGGACGGAAAGCTATCGAAAACGCCGCAGTCGCGGGCCTCTCTAGTTGCACCGACCGCGCGTGTCACGTTATTTTCGTGTTTTCTTCGAAAACCGGACCGGCGTTGCCGCGTCGTTCTTGAAATCGTTACGTCTCGGTTATTGTTGCCGACTTTTTCTGAGGTTTTCATTATTAAAGGTGAAAATTATAGATAGCGAGGATGCACAAACAGAATTTCTTTAGCCCCTTTTGAGGCACGGGAAGTTTTTCCAGCTGTGTATTTTGGAACACACCTCGTATCTCGAAAGTTTATCAGATTTGTTTATTGTCATATTTTCATATATGATTCAGTTTGTCAAGAGCATAAAAAAACTATAATACTTTTTCCATGTTTTTAATATCATGCCTAATATTTAATTTTTGAAAAAAAAATCGTTTTTGTTAATTGGTCTTGATAGTTGACAAAAAAATCTCATTTCAACTTAAAACAGAACAATTTTAGTAATTTTTCCTTAACCTAACATCATTTTAGACCTCTAATAATAGAAAACTAGTCATTTATTTATTAAAAAAATATAAACAAATAAAACATTTCTCAAATTGTTTTTAGCATCGCTTTTCAAATCTATCTATCTATATATTTGGTACTAGATGCTATATATTTTTAAAGTAGTGTTAAGATGGGCACTTAAAATATATAAATTATTGGGATACACTACTATTTTGAGAAAAATAATTTCAATCATTTCTAAATATTTATTTGCAGTAAGGCTGCCTTCACAAATATTACTGCCAGTATAAAACATAAAATCTTAAAATCGAACCGGCCTTGCCGTTTCCGTGGAAATGTTACATGCTGATTTTATTACATGTTGATTCCTGAAATGAGCTTCGTCAGGAATTTTATTTTCATTTTAAAGTATCACATACCAAGAGAGAGATCACAAAAAACTTGTTACGCAAAGCAAAAAAAGAAAAATGAAAGAAAAATAGATTAAGACATAACGACATAAAGGTTAGGTTTTCTTTATATAGGAATTTCTTTTTTTATGGAAATTTAATTTAGTTAATATTGTTTTAGCAAGGTGTTAATCGTTTTATCGAACTTTTCGTCAAAACATTTTTCCTATTCAAGTAGAGACCGAAGGTAAGTCAATACTTTTGTGGCGAGTAGGATGATCGCGCAACTGGGCGCTTGTTTTAAATTTCATTGTTGAATATTTTTCAATTGAATAACCCATGCATATGGATATAAATTTCATTTTCAAGAAGTTGATTCAGTTATAAAATTTTATGTCCCTTTCGTTATTTGACAAGGAGAAAATTTTTATAGTATAATAATAAAAATTGACAGTTTTAGGTTTTTTGACATGGCAATTACGAATTTCATTTCATCATTTTTTCTTCTTCTAAGTTTTACTTTAAACATCATAGAAATCTAAATGAATTTTCCATTTTTCATGCAAAGGCTACCTAATTCTCGGTTTTTGAATTGCTTATTGCGTTTAAATAGTTCAAAGTATTTTTTCTGATTTTTGTTGATAAATACTCAAAAGAAGGAAAGGTGCGGGGAGCAATGTACTAATATTTAGCAGTATAAATTTTGGTAGTAGTAATAGAAGAAACATAAAATCGAATGTTTTCGATTCGCACTGTGTTTTACATGAGACATGTCAGAAATTCTGACTTCAAGTCATAAACTATAAAGGCTTCTAAAGATTTATTTTTTTATATAACTGATTTGGAATAAACGAAATTTTGTGGTGTTTTGAAATTTCTTTATTTCTCTTCAAAATTTCGAGTTTAAACACTTCGAACACTTTGTTTTCGGAACGCGAGCATTGAAGATGCCGAGTGAGAAGATCGTTGCGAAATCTGTACAGGTTTCCATATATATTGTATATAACTATTTGAAGCTATTGGAAGCTATTACTTAATGACCAATTGGATTTAATTGGATCATTAAGTAATACATTTGAATATCTTATGTTATGTTAATTTCTATAGCTTCTAATAAATTTATATTTTTGCTTTTTGATTCATAATGTAAAATATCATAATTATCTTTATTTCTGAATTTAAATGGTTAACATAGTTACAACCCTAACTTTTATTCTTAAACGCTCTTTTATATTTGTAAATGCGTTGTTTCTTAAAGACGATTCGCATTTTAACTTGTAGGCTCTGGATTTTTGAGTTTTTCGTGATCTAGTCTTATCGTTTTTTAAAAATTTTCCTATGGTGTTTTGAGTTTTAAAAGACAAAATTCAGATCGATGTTTCGAAACTTTTTTACTATTTTATTGTTTTATAAATTTTGGGTTCAATGGGATGGATGTAGTTCCAGAGGTATTTAAAACTGTTTTTTTTAGTTATAATTCTATCTATTAAACAGGGGTCGTAACATTCTTTTTCAAAATTTTCTGTGGTAAGTAGTATATTATGTAGTCTGTGAATAAAAGAATAAATGGCAGCCATTTTGTGTGTGTGAGAATAATTTGACTAATTATATATGCGAGTTATAACTTGTTCCGTAATTTGGTTATAGTTAAGTCCAAAATGTTTAAAGAGTTTTCTGTTTGATTGTTTCCGTTACAGTGAAACAAACAAAAGCGTCATCTACTTATTAACAGCACCAAAGAAAACTTTTACTCAGAGGATGTTCGTGTATGATATTTTCTAAAGTTTTAAATTTATTTATTTTTACTTTTTATTATGACGTTGTCTGTCCCGAACAGCCACAATCGAACGATCGCTTTGCGTCCCGCGAGGCTGCTTAAAAAACCACGCGGCAAACCTGGCACAAATCCGGTCCTAAAAATTCGGAACGCTTTTAAGAACGCCACGTTCATTATACAGGGGGGTTCGTTGACCTCTTTCTCGGTGGCCGGGCGGCACTTAAATTTTGGTAACATCGCCCAACGTTTTGGCCCGGGTCAAAAACCGAATTTGTCAGTAAATATCTCCCCCTTCCGGGCCCTTCCTTCGCACACGCATTGGGCGTGGTTAAGAATAACGCGGTCTCTTTCTGGCGCGTTGCGTGCGACCCATGCGTTCCGCTCCGCATACGTTTTACGCTGCGGATGGTCGCAGCGCACGTCGATAGTAACTTTTCGTCTTTTGTGCGGGTCGGTCCTGGGATAGCCATGGATCCGAAGGAGAAAGTGATCGGTAAAGATTTGATGAAGAGTTTGCTGATTAAGTGCGCCCAGGAAAAAGCGACCCAGGGGATCCAAGATGGCGGGGACGCCTCTAACGGTTTGTTTCTGTTAACCGAAGACATTTCCCTTTTAGAAGCCTTTACAAGCATATACAAATTAAAAATTTCCTGTTGTTGCTCTCAATTTTGAACGTTTTCCCCAACATAAGAAAAAACAAAACAACAAAACAAAGCTAACCAAAACTAACTATTTGCGACAGCAAACTCGAAAGCGTGACGGCGAAGTCTTGGTAATTCCCATTCTTTCATTCCGAAAATTCTAAATCAAGTAACTTCAAATGCACTGCAAAACTCCAATTATCGAATTACTTTTTAAATCAAGTAACTTCAAATGTACTGCAAAACTACAATTATCGAAATACTTCCCCTAGCACAAAAGAAATCTCTGGGGAATTTAGTATTGTTGAACTTGAACAATACCGCCTTACCAAATTTATTTATTTATTGGGGCCGACGATATATGGAGTCGAACAAAATACCTCGATAATTTAAAAAAACAAAACACGGGGACGAAAAATGCGAGCGTTAAGATTTTTTTTTACAACAAAAATTAATATCGATAATTCTCTTCAACATAGCTGTATCTGTAATACATTTTAAGAAAATCTAAAATGAAAAAACATATTTCCTCAGAAAAAAAATATTTCTATATTCACAAAGGCTTCTGAAAGATAAAAGTACGATTCTTATTTATGTTAATGATTTGGACTAAACCAAAGTCGGTCCATTCGTCGCAAAGTTAAGAAACCATGGATAAGCGATGAAAAATGCAGATAAACGATTTTGGCCTAATGGTCCTCAATGAAACGCGGAGCCACCTGCTGTAAATTTACATTACTGTTAATTATCTCACGGAAAGTCTCACATTATATTTCGTTTAAATGGTTCAAGAATTGTCTTCCACATAAGATTCATTTATCGCTTATCCATGGTTTCTTAACTTTGCGACGAACGGATCGACTTTAGTTTAATCGAAATCGCACTTTTATCTTTCACAAGCCTTTGTGAATATACAATTTTTTTTTCTGAGGAAATATGTTTCTTTTTTCATTTGAGGTCAACGATTATAGACTACCGCACAGATATAGCGTGCGGGAAGCGTCGATTTACCACGTTAGTTTCGTTTCCCACGAATCCGAGTCACTTCGGACATTTCCGGGATTTTACCGCACGGGTTTGGGAACAATCGGATGTTTTCGGAGATATTTCCCACGCTTTGAATTTTGACGTTTGTCAATTCTGACAGTCATGTCAGTGAAACATCACAAAACGTTTCTTGTTAGCTTCAGTCACAATGTCTACTTTTCCCTTACACGAAACTGCGTCAGTATTTGCTGAGTCGAAATTGCTGACGTTTCGCCAATCATCCTGTTGGCTTCTTCAGAGCTTGACTGAAACTGGCTTGTATTTTACTCTGTACCTACTTATATATTGTTTGAGGGGTGCGGAGTTAAGTGAGGGGCATAACACCGTCTCGGATGACTGATTCCCAAAATGGTGATAGGTAGAGATCTGAGTCGCGATTGTTAGGTTGTTTATAGATTTCTATAGACTCTCTGATTTTTCGTTGGTGGAGGAACTGATTACATGCAAGAATTTTAGTTTTATCGAATAAAATTTTATGTCCGGTCTCGTGAGTGTGTTCGGCCACAGCTGATGACTTTATTTGTCCTAGTCGTAAGGCTCTTTCGTGTTTGAGCCTAGTTGATATTTTTCGTCCGGTCTCTCCAATGTATTCTTTGCTTTGGAATGCTGTAAACTTCTGGCATCTCAACGGTTAGCAACTCTCTTGTTTACAGAGCCGCAAAACTATCTCAGCCCGAGTCACTGAAAACAGAATTAAAACACCTTTCCTCTGCTATTCTCTCTCACTTCACAACCTTCCAATAGCAATGAGGATGAAAGCAATCCTACACTTGCCACTGTGGTCCTTCCTTATATTCAAAACATCACTGACCACATATCAAAAGTTCTAAAGAAGTATAACGTCAAAACCAGGTTTACCACTTGTCCAAAAATCTCTTCAGTCCGTCAAAGACAAAATTCCATTTGAGATGCCAGGAGTTTACAGCATTCCATGCATATGTGGCAAAGAATACATTGCAGAGACCGGACGAAAAATATCAACTAGGCTCAAAGAGCCTTACGACTAAGACAAATAAAATTGTATTCGATAAAACTAAATTTCTTGCATGTAATCAGTTTCTCTACCAACGAAAAATCCAAGAGTCTCTAGAAATCTATAAACCTAACAATCTTAACCGCGACTCAGATCTCTACCTGTTACCATTTTGGGAATCAGTCATCCGAGACGGTGTTTATGCCCCTCATTTAGCTCCGCTCCCCTCAAACAATATATAAGTAGGTACAGAGTAAAATACGAGCCAGTTTCAGTCAAGCTCTGAATAAGCCAACAGGATGATTGGCGAAACGTCAGAAATTTCGACTCAGGACCGACGCAGGAAGAATCCAGAAGTTTTGTAAAAAGTATTACAATAGCCTGTGGAAGTTTCTTTGAAAAATTACCGTTTCTCGTTGTTCGTGGTTACAATGTCCTGCATATTGTGTTTACCGGATGAAATGTCACGCATCCATTTCCATTATTAGTATTAAGAACGATTTCAAGATTGGTTAGAAAATAAATAGGATCGTTTGAGGATGATAATGATCACGCTTGGGCCTGACAGTTCAGAAACGATCAGTACGGCAGAGTACGGAAGAGAATTGAGAAAAAAATATTTATAAGCTTACCTTCCGGTACGAAAGTGCAGTTTGGCAAAATGCTAATGCTACACTAATCACATTTTTCTCTACCTTGGTACTTAATCTAAAAAATATATTTTATTTCGCGGACTTCCAATTTGGTTTGGTTGATTTCTGTGTTACTCTTGTAAAGTTACTACATTATTATTACAAATTAATAATAGACTTCATAAATTTCAAATGACAACCATGGAAAAAAGAAACGAGATATTAAAGCCTCAGGTGGTACCTCGATTTTTTTATTGCTTTTTAATTATAATTGTTCAGAGTTTTTTACAAAAAGGCCCTTCCTTAACCTGGTTTTTTACAAAAAGGCCCTTCCTTAACCTGCGGCGGTTGTTTATATATCAAACGTGCTGATGTTTCGCGAATCATCCTGTTGGCGTCTTCAGAGTTTAACTGAAATTGGCTCGCATTTTACTGTGTACCTGTTTAGATATTACATTTTTCTAATTAGTTTCCATGTGGAATCCTTCTTTATTAAAGTATTTATTAAATAAATGTGTTAAAATCCGAGATTCTGGAACAAACCCTTCTCACTTTAAATAAAAATGCTTGACTAGAACATATTTTTCTTGTTACAATCAAATTTATGAACAAAAGTTGGGAACAAATACGGGTTCTCCATTGTCACCAAGCATCGCGAACATAGCTATGGAAGCCTTTGGGAACAAAGCCCTCGACACCTATCTAAAACCAAGATTATAGCCATTTAAACTCTAGCTGCGCGCCCTAACATACGTTTTATCGTTGAATTAGAAACTAATAATAATTTATCGTTCTAAGATATCAATAGAAAATTAGAGCTAATATTGGCTAATATGTTTACAGAAAGCCCACGTAGCTGTAAATCTATCTCAACCCGAGTCACTGAAGCTCGAATTAAAGCACCTCACATCTGCTCTTCTCTAATAAATTCCACATTAGAGATATTAAGCGTTCTATCACGAAATAGATTTCTCCACAGCCTTCGAAAGAAAATAAGTCTCATGCAACCCCATACTTGCGACGTGTTCTTCCTTACATTCAAAACATCACTGACCACGTAACAAAAGTTCTTAGTGAAAATAACGTTAAAAGACAATCATTGAACCGGACGTCAAATCTTATTCGATACAACTAAAATTCTTACATGTTATCAATTCTGCCAAAGAAAAATCCGAGAATCTATAAGCAACCAAACCGCGACTCAAATTTGTACCTTTCACCATCCGCGAGCCAGTTTCAGTTAAGCGCTGAAGCCCTGTGGATACGTTTAATTTGTTATACACTACTTTTAGTTTAGTTATGTAGTCTCTATTTTTATTAAAAAGGGTCATTACCATAAAAAATGTCCTCTTTTTCAAGTAAATACACTAAAACAACATAATTATTATAAAAACCAAAAACACGCATTGCATTCTTTCTACCACCTTCTAAATAAAGAAATCTAAAAGCTTGAAGTTTTCATAGTAATGTTGTAATGATGATAAAAAAATAAACTTATAGCTTCCACTTGCAACTTTTTGGAACCATTCGCTTAACGGTTTTTCTGTTGTCTGCAGAACCCCGTTGGCCGATGCCGGAGATGGTAGGATTCTACGGCCGACCGTCTATACCATTGTTGCCCGTCGTTCACCCCTCATCGGAGGATCTCGCGGTCAAAAAATTGGTTTGCAGTCCCGACCTGCCGATCCCCGCATTTTCTGGTGACACCCAAGAAAAGACGACCGAGTCAGTCCGCTGTCCCGTCTGTCAGAAAATGTACACGTCGAAGAGCGCTTTCCAGGCGCACCAACGCACCCACTCGAAGGACTCTGAGGACCCGTACAGGTGCAACATTTGCGCGAAGACGTTCGCAGTGCCTGCGAGGTTGACCCGCCATTACAGGACGCACACCGGCGAGAAACCGTTCCGGTGCGAGTTTTGCAACAAGAGCTTCAGCGTGAAGGAAAACCTGAGCGTGCACCGCAGGATCCACACCAAGGAGCGTCCATACAAGTGCGAGGTGTGCTCGAGGGCGTTCGAGCACTCCGGAAAGCTCCACCGACACATGCGGATACACACCGGGGAAAGACCGCACAAGTGCAACGTGTGCTCCAAGACGTTCATACAGAGCGGGCAGCTGGTGATCCACATGAGGACACACACCGGCGAGAAACCCTACGTGTGCAACGTGTGCCAGAAGGGTTTCACGTGCAGCAAACAACTGAAGGTGCACTCGAGGACGCACACCGGCGAGAAGCCGTACTCGTGCGAGATATGCGGCAAGTCGTTCGGTTACAACCACGTGCTGAAGCTGCACCAGGTCGCCCACTTCGGCGAGAAGGTCTACAAGTGCACCATCTGCAACGCGACGTTCAACTCGAAGAAGAGCATGGAGGCGCACATCAAGAGTCACTCGGAGAGTGCGCAGCATCCGCCTCAGCCGCCGACGCCGCCCGCCTCCAACCCGTCGAGCGAGTCGTCGTGCTCGAGCACGATCAGCGACAAGGAGAACCTGAAGATGGGCGCCGCGACGCTGGAAGAAACGCGCGACGTCAACTATTACGTTTACTCGCGGGGCGGTATTTCGCCCACTTACCTTCAGACAAATTACCCGATTTCGTCGGCGGGGGTGGAGCTGTTGGCAGCGGCGGCGACGGCGCGCGAATCCGTCGAAATGTACGGCCCCAACAACCAGGACCTGGTGTTCAGCTTCGTGAAGACGACGCCGCAGGCGCTCGGCTACTTTCCCGCGCCGCACTGCGATCCGCCGCTATCCGCCGGAGACGATATCAGGAAACGCGTCGAAGAGGCTTTGGTGCTGGAAAACTACCCGGAAGAGGGCGCCAGGGTCGTGACGCCGCCGTTTTCGAATCCCGCATCGCCGTCGGCTTCGCCGCCCGCGTCTCCCGACCCGGAACTCAGCCTTCCGCCGAGGAAGCGGTCGAGGATGATCCAGAAATCGATGGAAGAGAGTTTAGACTTGTCCCCCGTGCGGTACAGCGTGATTCAGTATGCGCGTGCGTCGTAGATGTTTATTTTGCTCGTTCGGTGTATTTCTGTCGTACTATTTTTTTTTCTTCTGTGATAAGATTTTTGCGTCAACGTTTACCTCATGGCAGTGCCTGCGTCTTTGCAATACGTTGCGTTTGTGTGTGTTACATATTATATAACTATTTGACTGCTAGCGTGCGAGTATGCCTCATTATTATTATAACTAACCAAACCCGCGCCCACACGGCGTTTGGTGTAATTTAGTGAATAACTTTTGGTATCAAAAAAATATTAAGTCCGCAATCAAAGTAGGATAATCAAAGGGAACGCGAAAACTTCTGTTACGTTTTCTTCCATCGAGGATACGATTTGCGTTTTCGCGAAGATTTTGTTGTCCACCTAAATTTAATGTTGAAAAATTAAATTGCTAATAATGTACCGTATATCTAAGTCTGAACCGTTGCGGTTTTTTGAACAGCTGTCGTATTCCTTAAATAATGTCGTCGTTGTACACTTATCTTGGTATAACTTAAACGGAGAAAACAATATATCGTCTTATAAAAAGAGTGTTTTTTATTTTCCGCACCTCGTGAACTGGGCGGGAACACTGCCCGAATGGTCCATATCTAAGACCCGCATATTATGAACATTTTATGAGGTTCGGGTTTAATGAAACGTGATTCTACGAACTTTCGCAATATATTAACCAAACTGTCAGTCGATTACAAAAAGGCCCGTTCGGCAGCATGACTATGCTGTAGTCCACAATTATATAATCGATATTAATCAATACCGTGGCCGTTGCTGATCCATGTGGTTAACACGGTCTTTCATGAACATGAACTATGATGTTATGTTTGGCCATCCTGACTGTTAGTCGAACTTTACTTCTTTAGGCTTCCTTAATGAAATGTGCTGTGAATATTTTTTTGTTAGTTAAAGTTAGATCATGGTGAGGCAACGGCATTAAGAATATGCTGGAATTTGTGCTCCAAAGAAAATAGTTTCAATGTTTTGCTTTTTAAAACCTTTTTCGCAAGCAAAAATGATTCTTTTAGGAACTGAAAATAAACTAAACAGACCTTTAAAAAATTTGCAATTTTGCAAATCAATATTTTGAGTATCAATGAGCTACCATTAATATGTAGGAATATTCCCCCGCCCTTTTAGCATAAGGCCAAAGGTGATCCATATGCCTTGTATAAAAAGGCTTTTCTGGTTTATCAATTGCAAAATGGAAACCTCTGCTATTTTCCGTACTATCCTTTTTTATAACGTGCATAGACATAATTTCTTATAATTCGTGTGATCCCTTTGAACCATAATTTACTTTAAATCAAGGATTCACATTTTTTATATCCTAGATGGCCGATGTCATGAAATTTCCTTAAAATGTTGAATCTGGCAGATTGTAGAATGACTTCTTTTTCTATAAAGTCTTTGATTTTTTTTAAAGATACATGCATTTCTTAACACAGGTATCACAGTCAGTAGATTTTTATTTTTCACACAGTGCGTCAACGTGAATCATTTTATTACCAGGGCGGCGCTTTATTTTAAAATGATAGTCTTGAATTTTCAACCATGCGGCCAACTATGCGAGATAATAAATTCGGTTTTCTAATTCTTTTGATTGTTTCGACTATAGCTAATGTTTCTAGTTTATGCAAATGAAATTTTTTTGGTTCCTGGTTTTAGGAGACCTTTATGTTTTTGCAATAAAACCAAACTTTGATCGTAAATAACAAGATTGCTTTCAAAAAATCGTCACTGGGCAGGGTAAGTTCGTAGAGCTAAGCAGCTTTTATTATAAAAGGAACGAACTTCGCGGATTCGTGTGGTAAAGGGACGCATTGTTTTTCTATCGTGCTCCTGCGGACTACTATGGAACTTTCGCAAAATCGATGTAATTTAATTGTGCATGGACCCTGTATATAATGTCACATCTCGTCGAACTTCAAAGTTACAGCAAACATCAGCAAATATTAAAATTTGCACAAATAATAGCGTTGAATGATTTTTTCAAATATCTCGCGCCCTGTATAATTGACAAAACCTGAAATTCTTACGGTTTACTTTACGGTTTATACTGTTCAAATAAAATTATGCTATCTTTAACGGTTTTTTATTTACCGCCAATAATTACCCACAAACCGGAAATTTTTAGGTTATTTTATATTTTTTGCCCATAAACTACACACCCTGTATATGATACAATCATTGTTCGAAGTAGAGATTATAGCCCTAGATTTTCCACGTTTCCTGGTTCAAGGATTTTTTGAAAATAGTAAATGGTCTTCGAGAAAATAAGTTTTTTCTGAAACCGTACAGTGCGCCGTAATAATCAATGACATCATCGCGTCTTAACAGCACCCGAAACACCGATTTCAATATGGATTTTTTCGAATATCCCGAGCAGCGTATGAGGAGTGGAAAACCGCAAATACAAAAATCGTAGCTCTTGATGCGGCCTATGACACCGTTTGAACCAATTAGCCATATTTTTTACGCTTTTTGATTTGCGGCTAATAATTTACTCTGTAAAAGAACAATTTTCTTGATTTTTGCTTATAATTTGAAAACCCTGTATATAATCGAAAAAATGCCAGAAATGTTATTGCACTGGATCTTCTGCGTCTGGCGGTTAAAGAATTTTGCCCATCGGATTAATGATTATGGAGGAAAACATATTTTTCTGGAAGCTAAAATTACCAACAAACAAAAAATCAAATATATTTAAAAAATACTTGGTAATATTTGATTGCGCCCAATTTGTACAGTCTCAATGTGGACGTGGACTTTTACTTCTCTGCTAAATTTGAAGTTGATATCTGCAAATTTAGGACACGACACATTTCTCATTTAGCACTTAATATCGGGAATACCCTGTATAATAGGTGAAAACCTTAAGGGCAAAAGTTTTTGCTATCTATGCGGGCTATATCGCAATATAAAAGAAAGTGAGATCTGAATCACAGTCTTTCAGTTATAACCAATTTTCAATATTTTTAAAAAATAGTCACGAATAAAAATTTATAGAGCCGCATCTTCTGATTCTTCTGATTCAAGAATTTCAGTTTTTGAAAAATGATGTTTTTTGTAGACCCTTGCACGCGCGATTTTTTAATTTTTTATAATACTTCCTGACCCCCCAGCCCACCATTTTCAGTAGGTTCCGTCATGGGACATAGCCGCATATATCTGCCAAATACGACGTCGATTGCTTCAAATTTCGGATACTTATCGTGTTTCATAGCAAGGTCCAAAAAACAGTCGAAAATCGCGAAAAAAAGATGGATACCTACGTCGGATCAGGGCCATTTCTTATAAGCTTATGTGCCTTGTGGAGGGTTAAAAAGGACGCCAATTTCAATTTTGTAGCTCCAACGGTTCGAAAGTTATTCAGGAAAAGCTAACAGACGAGAACGGAGAACGGAGAGACAAAAAAAATTTTTTTCGACAGTGATCATTTCTGTCTGTACCAACGCCGATCCAATAGGACCTACCGTTACCAAGATATAAAATTTTTATACGAGAGCAGACACTTTCGAAAAATTCAATTTCATCGATTTTCGGAAGTAAGAATCATAGTTTCATAATGGTTCGAAAGTTATTCAGGACAAGCCAAAAGACGAGAACGGAGAACGCACAGACAAAAAAAAAATTTTTTCGACGGTGATCATTTCTGTACCAACGGCGATCCCATAGGACCTACCGTTACCAAGATATAAAATTTTTATACGAGAGCAGATACTTTCCAAAAATTCGATTTCATCGATTTTCGGGAGTAAAAATCTTAGCATCATTTTTAATAATTTTTCTGAAATATGGGCTAAGACCTAAAAATAGCCGCAGTGGATGTATGGTTTTGGGCTTTGAAAAGTTAGCGACTGCGTTTATTTATGTTTACCAGGTTGGATTTGCCCTTGACGTTATATCGCAAATAATTAATGCTGACTTCACTTTTAAATATTTAGTTTTAAATTAGCTTTTTCCAAAAATTTAAAAACTGTCTCTAAAGTTTTTAGACCATTTTCTTTTGATTCCCCACGAAATAAGCTTCGGCTGGTAAATGATTTTGTACGGCCTCCTTCCATTGACCCCATGTTTTATTATACTCGAATAATTTATTGTACCAAACTTTAGCCATGCCTGCTAGTTTTGCCTGCAAAAAGAACGGTTTTTGTGTCAGTCCAGCCAGTTGTTCTATTTTGTTTAGATACATTACGGAATTTAGTTATCGGTTTTCAGGGTCGAATAAGGGCACTAGATCGCACTGGGAGAAGTTTTCAGTATTTTGTGCAGTAAATTTAGTTTATTGGTTGGTATACTTGTACTTTCTTGGCGATTGGATTTTCGACTGTGGGGTTTATGGCCCGACTGGACGAAGTCGAAGAGTTTCACAAATTTTTTCACTAGTATATTTTACATTTTGGGTGTTTTCGTCACTATCACTGTCGCGATTCATTTTTAAATGCTCACTTAATCGCACAGGTTTAATAATACGACCTGACATTACGAATTTTTGCGATATATTAACCAAAATATCATTCGATTACAATAGACCCTGACCGACAGCATGACTATACTGCCCAAAATTTTATAATCAATTATGTAATCAATACTGCGACAGTTGCTGATTCACGGTCTTTCACATAAGAACATGAAGTATGTGTTGTATCAGTGGCACCATCTAGGGTCATTTTTAAGCGTTATGTCACCGGTAGAAAGTTTCAGTTGCTAACTGGTTTCAAATCGAACTAGATGGCAAACGTTTAATGTATCTACAAGACGGGAAGAAATATAGCTCTTGCTGTACTGTACTGTACTATAACCAATTTAAGTATATATATCGGGGCGATTCTACAGCACTATGATGTTACTGTAATTTATTCTTCTGAACTTTAATAAGGCCGGGACCATACAATGCGGTTTAGCGGCTTAACAAATGCCACACAATGTTTTCAATTGAGTCGTTTTAGTCCAGTCAAATTACTGCTTAAATTAATGGGTATGACAGTTTAGGCTGAATAAGTTTTTCTCGTTTCTCAGCTGAACGGCGAGTTTTAGAGCAAAAATTCTATATCATCCGATTCTCTAGAAAAAATGTCTATACACTTTCTGTCATAAGTATTGCCATTTCCGTGATATAGCGGTTCACATAATTCGTAATATGCACATTTCCATACCAGCTACGAGGTAGTGTGATGAAGGCTGTATAAATTATGTAACTTATAAATAAAAAAATAAAAATTATTCATATTAATTCATAATAATCCAATGGAACTTCTAGTGTACTGTCTTCGTTTTCTTCTTCTTCTTCTTAATGTTAGATACAAATATACACTGATATCGCAATTATCGTCATCTAGTATCGATTCCACATTGGAGCACGATTGTCCTTAACAATTTGTTACAGGCCAGATTTTCACAAATCAGAAAATAGCTTTTAGTTACATACCTAAGTTTAATCCACAATATTAATTAACATAATTTTAACATATACCAAATAATAAGCTCACAGACACATATATGAAAGAATAATAATTAGTTACAGCTCCTCTATATTCCAGCT